GGCTGTTCCGATTACACAATAAGTAAACCACTGCTTTTTATCTTCATCATCAACCTCATCATCATCAGCTACCATTTTTTCAGTCACTGCTGGATATGAACATCTCCAACAGTACACGACTTGCCTCATTAGACATCTGTGCCTTTTGTGATAGGTTAGGTTAGTTTTATGTTGTCTTTTTTTGGTACAAAACCTGCCTCAACCTCCAAAACCGCTGCAACTCCTCTAAGCCAGGATCTATAGTAGATAAAACCATGAAAACACCGAAACACTGAAGTCCCCGGCGTCCCAGGGACGAATGAATGACAGTCTTGGACGCTGCAACGAATAAATCACAAAATATTGTTTGAGGAGACGAAACAGTTTCCACTTCTCTCGGGTATTTTAATGCCGGAGACTGAATGCCTTAAGCATTAAAGGCGCAAAAGTTACTGTACAACTGGAAGGAACCGACCGGTGTCTTACGAACTAACTCAGTACGAAAGGATGTTTTTTTTTGTGGGGAAAAAATCATCAAATGACTTCTCTGGGAGTGTCAGACTCTTACTGACTAAAAACCCCCTGTTCCTTCTCCAGCTCTGGGCTGCGGTCGCAGTGCCTGGGTTGCGCTTACCCCGCAACCCCGGCTGAACATAAGCCCTAAAGACGAAGGGGTGCTTGGAGATAGCAGTTTAAAGGTCAAAGTTTATGAGAAAGCAATGTTACCTAATTTCTGTTACATAAATATGTATGTCGAGCACGACAATCAATATTACGAATTTACGAATTTCATGTTACGTTTACGTCAAAGTATTGTAGGTAGCATATTAAAATAACACGTACCTATCTTAAGTCGTATGTTGTATGTCAAAAAGAGAATTAATGTATGCATAAATTATGTATTTAAATGTGTGTAATACACAATTTGACAGCCCTACGCTACAATTAGAATATGCTAATGTACAAAAGTCTTAATTTATTCCGAAGACAATTACTTACACGTGCCAATTTTGTTGTACTTGTAGGTACTGTGATATTGCCAAAATATTTTAAATGTATAAAATAATAGAAAAAAAAAACCTAAAAACTAAAATATTATGTCCAGTTATAATGCCATGTCAGAGTCAACTATTGACTTCTATGGGAAAATGCTGGATTTCACACCAATAATCATCAGTTTTATCAATATTGTAGAAATCATTTCGTTATTTTTCGTGAGTATTTAGGACAAATCTCCAACCTTTAAACCCCTCACCGGTTAAAGCTCGAAGCCCTTGTAACTCCTCTGTTTGTTGCGGTTGTCCATAAGCGACGCCGATTGCTTACCAACAAGTTTGCTCTGATAAAAATTAGGCGCATGCTTCGGCACGGATGGGTCGGCTCGACCGAAATGATAAACCGACCTCAAAGAAATCCGGCGTGAAATAACCATAGTCTTGTATATCCCAGTATGAGTCAGGTTAGGTTCACTCCATCCCCAATCCCTAAATCTCCAAAACCCTAATCCTCAAAAGGTCGACATCGTACTCGTAACTCCTTCGTTGTTGCAGTTGTCTATGAGCGGCACTGATTTCTTATCCCGTAAAAGGTCGGCTCGTTTATCGTCCTACCATATAAAAAAGGTAATACAATCATTTTCAAAACCACTCTACTATACATTGCCAATAGTGCTGCAATTATAGAACAAAATTACACCAATTCCTACCTAGTTCGCAATCCGACTAAACAGTCCCAAAGCATATTTGCAGAAGAATGCTAACATGCTTAAAAACGCTTGCTGTTAATAAGACCAACGTAAGTTGACACGTGAAATTAGAACTCCTTTAAAAAATGAATTTTTTTTTATATTTTCTCCTTGAACTAAATATTAAGCTTTATTTAACGGTGAAGTGTCTTAAATTACAGAATGGAAACTTTTCCCTACATTTTTTGACAAAATGACGACGGTAAGGAGACACCAGTTTAATAGATGCAGGTTTAACAGAGAGCATCCCTACAAAATATGCAATCCCTAATTCTTAAGACACTTGTATTGCGATAAAATGTACTTCATTCTTTTTTTTTAGGTGGATCTAGAGGTAGTGTATGAGTCTTACTGGCTATAAAATACTCTACCCCTTCTCCAGCTCTGGAGCAGGCCTCAATACGTGTTATAGTTACACTTACTTTCTTTAATTATTTAAACACCACTAACATAACATACGGTGAAAGAAAACGTCGTGAGAAAACCTGGATGTATAAGTTCTAATTACAAAATTTCAAATCGTCAATCCACCTTGAGCAAGCGTAGTGATCAAAACACATTTTTTTCTGTTTTAAAAGAGGCCTTTGCTCAACAGTGGGTACTTATAGGTTAATGATGATTAGAAATTATAAGGTATGGTTTCAGATGACAGTGACTAAATACATTTTGTAATGACCTAAGTTAAAAAAGGCCCGTCTTGATATTGGCCAAGTTTTTAAACCAGTTTAACCTTCGGGTCATGCGGACATACATGCCTATAAACATAATAATGCAGCCTTAATTATATATAAGTATTATAATAATACTAACTAGAATATTGTAGGTGTCAATAAAAAATGGTCGTGGCAACATGCTATAAAAGAGTGCACAATTATTGTTGAACCGATTATTTGCGCACAGTTATGCAAGTTACGTGACTTCAAAGAGTTAGTTTGGAATAGAAAAAAATAAAAACTTGGCAAGAGTAAATAGTTTATTCCGTGCAGCAAAAATATATTTGATATTCTCGAGTGAATTTCGTTTTGATAGGTCGAAGGTTCTCGTCTGTGAGGGCAAAATGGCGGATTGAACTGCGGGAAATCGTATATAGTCGAAAAGAAAATAAATATTTATTTAAACTGAACTTAACAGAGATATTTTTATTATAACTCTCGTGAGACATTCTAAATTATTTATTATATTTTCGGCTTACTCACGTAATAATTTACAGTAGCAGCGCGACAGTCGCCGAGTCGCGTGCCTCGAAATGCTGTTCATGAATATGGGCCTCCAGCATGGCTTGAAACTAGTCGAGTATCTCGTCAAATTATTACGTTAACAGAGATATGTGGAAGCAATAAACTATGCTATGATATATCATTATACTTACTTATTAATATTATTATCTTTTTAGATTCTTTTGGAGATGAAACGTTGAGAGCCTAAATTAACATGGTTACTCTTCTTCCAAAAAACATTTAACACTTTCTATAGCTAAGTTTTTTTGTTTTGCAAATCATCCAAATACTTTTCTCTATGCACGAGAACTAAAAACTGCTAGTTAAATTGACAATACCACCCCTCTTTTCTACTGTTCCGAGCCGGGTCGCGGTACTTCGTTGCGATTTGGCAAAGTAAGCCTCTCGCAAGTGACCAATATGAGTTTTTCCACGTTAAACGTAAGTTTTTTTTAGGCACCACTGACATATAGCGTGGAAAAATCCTGAAAGGAAACCTTAACCAAATTTTTTTAATTATGATTTTTTATTTTCGCCTTATTTATAAAGGCCTTTGCTCAGACGTGAGCCCTTATAGGCTGTTGATGTTGACGATGGTTAATTTAGTCTTATACAGTTTCTTTACACGCGTACGGAGTAAACTGAACTTTACTTTGTTTTAACGTAAGTCAGAATTTTAATGTTTTTTATTAAAACCTTCTTAGAAAAAAAAAATCTTTTGAAAGCTCGACATCCCTACTGATAGCCAGTTAACAAAAGTATTGTCTACTTTATTTCTATTAATATAAAACTCACGATTCATTCTACAATGCATCGTCTTTACAATGTCTATAAATAAATATTATCGATTTTTACCACGGAAGGTGCTACTTATCGACAACGGACGCATATGTCTATTCTCATGATCGACTTCAACTGTATGTCAGTTAGTTTTACAACAAAAACTAACCTTATATCATGGAAATAAAGTCACTGTTCCTATGATAATTTAACATGCAAGTGATATTATACTTGATTGTATTGAAAGACGGTTGCTGATGTCGAATCATTTATTTATAGCTTTTATGGGGTTAAGACTGTTTAGGAATCCAAGTTCTATGACAATTCTTAAAGGTAAAACTCGTACAGGAAACGAAACCTCAATTGAAGGAATGTATCTATAAAAAAATGAAAGTACGGCGGCATTGGTACTAATATTCGACAAATAGTATCAAAGTGTATGTCGACCCCAGATTTAAAATAGGAAATTAAGTCATAGTACTAAGGAACTTGGAAGATGCCACCGTTTTCAGAAAAGCAGTCATGTCCAAAGATATGTGAGAGAATGACCCTTCTTCTACCCCAGCAGCTGGAGGAGGGTCCTTACATCGTCAGCCAATAAGTGCCCACTGCTGACCAAAGGCCTCTTCTCACACGGAGAAGATTAGAGCATTAATCACCACGCTTGCTCAATGCGGGTTGGCGATTTCAAACTTATAATTAGAAATTATAAGTCCAGGTTTCCTCACGATGTTTACTTTCACCGTATGTCAGTGGTGTCTAAATAATCATAGAAAGTACATATAGCTCGGAAAAAGTCACATTGGTACGTGCCAGGTTTCCATTCACATTGTGACTCTTTACGTCGAGATTTAACTCATTGCCTGATCAGATAGGCTGCAAAAGACAATCAGAGTATCGCAGATGTAAACATATTATATAGGTTGACCATGATATAAGTTATTACGGCAAAGTAAAGCACGTTCTCCATTCGGATTGGCGAGTTCTAAATAGACACTCATTCACCAGGTTCCTCGAAGAAGAAAAAAATATAATAAAGTGCTTTAACTATTTTACTTACTTGCCTTAACATTTGGTATTACAACAAATTAAACAACATATACTTATGTGAGTATAAACGCGGAATATAATTATTTGAATACCTTGGTAGGCTTGACAATTCGACCTGTGCAACCGGGTCAAAACGTCAAGCCTACCAAGATATTCAAATAATAATTTTCCGCGTTAATACCCGCGTAACTAACTATATGTTGTTAATATGAAACGCGAACGTTTAAAAGTTCCGCGTGAGGGAGCAATCCTCCTCCTCCCGCCCCAGCCGCCGCAACTGGCGACACTACGGGCGTCGGGGATCAAGGAACGATCTCCAGCCACCGTAAGCACGGGCCTGCGGTTGGCGAGTAAGGGCAGCTCGCCACCCGACCAGAACCAGGCCCGAGCGTACGGCGCGTAGCCGCGGCGGTAGTAGCGGCCCTAAAGGGCTGATGTTCAGCCGGGGTTGCGGGGTAAGCGCAATGAGGCACCGCGACCTCGGCCCAGAGCAGGAGAAGGGACAGGGGGGTTTTTAGTCAGTAAGAGTCTGACACTCCCTCCCGCCCGGCCCTGGGCGGGAGAAGTCATTTGATGATTTTCCCCTCACAAAAAAAAGGTTTAAAAAAGTTAGTATTACAACAAATTTAAAACCTTGCTATGATGGATTGTATTACTACTACGCAGTCTTCCCAAAACAGTTTCCTTTCATCGCCGACAAACAAGAAAAATACTGACAATGTTTCTTTTTTCCCTTTGATGATCTTTGACAATGTTTTTAACAACACTTCCTGAAGGAACGAAAAGAAAAACAATAATAAAAGAAATTCCGCAAAATTACACTTGTATGGGCTGTTAAAATATTCTTCCGTGTACAGATGAAAGGCACCAGTATATCATGGTCTCGCTGTGAATGGTGTTTCCACACTTCAGCGTTCAATTTGTACTGGATTTTAGCTTTTACGTATGGCTAAAGCAAAACCAGTATATCTTGGTCTCATTTTGTATGTTGTGTGTGGGAGAGTCATGTGTCGGTAATGGATGCAATGGTACCATGGCCTCACCGAAACCAGGCGTGAAACAACCAGAGCGTTGTGTTTTGCCGCCCAATCCTTCCCCAATCCCCAAATGTACGGAATCCTAATCCTAAAAGTCCGGCAACTCCTCTGAATTACTGGTGTCCATGGGCGTCGCCGATGACCTTACGTGGAGTGATACGAAAAGCTGAGTAGGATAACTCCCTCACGCGCTCCGCCCCCTTCTTTGCGAGCGTCACAGTTTCGCAGAAGAAGGAGATAGCTTCCCAGTTCCTCTCGCTCCGCATCTCTCCATGGCCTCGGAAAAAGCCGGACGCGAGAAGTCATCTCTACCAACCCCTTGCCTGTATTAAAATAGACGTTATGATATATTTTATTTCTGACAGGAGTCGGCGCTTGTTGCTCCGTGTCTCGATTACCTAAACACTGCATTAGAAGCATTTCGCGACGAGCGTTAACTCCAAAATTCAATACGACTATAGGCAAGCAACTATGTAGAATTAAAATATTCAATAGTTTCCAGTTTTTTGTATTTTTAATAAATAAATTCTTATTTTTAAAACTCTGCAATGCATGTAACATTCTTCTTCATTAAGAGAGAAACGTTAAAAGTATAGAATGTACATTAAAAAAACTAAACAAAGTGCCCTATCTAAATAATTTGAAGAACAAAGTTGAGCCCTCGGAGTAAATAGTAAACGCGTCTAATAAATATTTACATGGGACACAAATTGCTTAGTCACCATCGTATAGTTAGTTTAGTTATTAAGAAAGCGTAATTAATCATTTTCGTTGTTAGCTCATGGGAAACAGAACATGTGACTTTATTTTTTTATCGTTTTAACACATTCACTAAAAATCGCAGCTTACTCACGTGTATATATTGAGAAAAGCTCTACTAGTTTCGAACCTCAGAGGGGTTCTTCCTCATGAGCAGCGTGCGCGGACGTGGCGACGTCGCGCATCCTACTCTTGTTATAAAAACAGTTTTAACACACGACAAATTAATCTGACTTTATCAAAGTTTTTTTTTTTGTTATAATCTTTATTTAAAAGAGCTTATTTGCAATTACAAATATGACGCTCCGTACACAAAGCAAAAAATAATTAAGAGTTTTGAAAAAGAAAGGATTAAGACGATAGTAATTTATCAAAAATGATATAAAATATAAAATGTAATAATTCCCCAAATAATTAAAATTACGACTATTTAATAATATTATTTTATCACTGGGATTCCTAACCGATTATCAGATAGCAACCGAATAGACTGATCACCAACCAAAAACCGTTTTTACGTCAAAGGGTAACAAAATTAATGTCATCAATACATTCCACATCAATATAATGAATCAATGAATGATATGAAACATATGCAGTGAAATGAAGTAGAATGTGCGCAAAAGCTTTCTTCCATTAGTTTTTTCTCCTATAATTTAGGCATTTTTACTAGAAATACAATAAAATAACGGGGGTAATAGTACAGTATTACCAGCTCAAAATATATCTTACCATATCTTTTGCAACCATTATTTGGCTCAGTAGCCAAAAAATGGTTACTAGATCGCTGTGTTGAATCATTCTTTATTTATATTCTTGTATTCCAAATAATTATGCAGGCTTTAAACGCCATTTATGTAATAAGTGTAAAAAAAGCCATACTTTGGCACGAATGGGTCGGCTCCACCTGATTGATACCACGGCCTCGCAGAAAACTTACGTTGTGTTTCGCCGCGTGAGTGAGGTTACTGGAGGCCCAATTATTCTCTCCTCCCATACTCGATCCTCAAATCCCTTATCCTAAAATGTCTAATAACCCCCAAAACGCCGGCGACGCCAATAATATTATTACCAACATTACGGCATAAAATTAACACGAATGAGATGCAAAATCGTTCTGTCAAGTTTAACAAATGGTGCGTTATTTGTCAAACGTCTGTGTATAGTTTGTCACCTGTCAAAGTACAAAATGAAAGCTGTCAAAGTGTTAGTAAGTTTTTAAGTGAACAGGTATTAAACTAATTGTTCATAGTAACTTTGTTTTAGTAATTATGATGATGATACAGTTCACCTTACTAATATATAAATATGAATCTGTTAAGATATATATTGTTTGGACGTTTTGACTTAAAAGAAGGATTAACTAATTATGAAATAACGAGTAAAACCACTGACAGATACAATAGAAGTTGATAATTAAAAATAATTTGTCATAAATCAGCCTTTGCATTTAACATGCATTAATACGTACAGACATATATGTCAACTATAGTTATAGTTTGTAACATTTCTGTGCATCACCCTTCTGGTTGATTGGTAGAGAATGCCTTTCGGTGTTAAGTCCGCCTTTGTCTATTACTTATAGTGTTAGAGTAAAATTAATTTATGACTTTCAAGGAGCACTCATAGCTTTTTCAATGATAAAAATTGCCAATTTTTATATAGGTATCTATCTAAAAATCAAAAGCCAGTAATACTCACGACAGTTACTTTTTAATTTAAAAAAAACTGTGTTATCGTCACTGTGGATAAAGGATTTGAAGACTGGAATTAGGATTAGAAGTGGGAAGATTAGGCCTTTGGAAAACTCAATCACACGGTGAAACACAACGCAAACGTTGCTACACGCCAGTTTTCTGTGAAGACGTGATATCCCTTTAGTCTAAGGTTCAAGTATGGCTTCGAAGTGAAAGAGTTGAAGTCAAAGAATAATATTATAACTAGCTTTCGCCATCGGCTTTGCCCCGTGCTGTGTTAATAAAAAGCAGCCTAAAGCAATAGAATAAAATCGAGATATAGGTACATAAAATTTGTTATTAATCGTCTCATTTCTAGGGGTACATCTCCAATGGGTAAATACCCTATTACTTACTAAGTCTCCGCTATCCGTCCGTCCATAGATATAATGGTACGGATCTAACTAATAGGTAAGTATTACAAATATTTCATAAAACCCATTATATTTTGTATTTGTACCGCGTCGTGTCAAACGCGGCAACTGTTACACAAAAATAATCCTTATAGCATGATTCTGCGTTCACATGCGACGGCGCGATGGCTTATTATCCGAACTGCTAAGCTATCAGGCGTTACACGTGCTATTGTGAATTAACCATAAAAGATATACATAGCCATTCAACTATTTGTACGCCACGACACGCGGCTGAACATGTTTGAACTTTCTTTCTACTGTAATATCTTGCATGCAATGTATGTATACCATGTTTAAACAAATAAATATACTTACTTACTTACTTACTTACTTATGCTGTAAAACATTTTTTTTAGATAATTTTATGTAGAATATTTCCGTCATACATAATTTTTATGTAGCTTTAACCAGTAAGGTTACACACGCGACGGAAACTTACAAAAGGGACTTCTCCCGTTTTCCCAACATTTCTCTTCACTGCTCCGCTCCTAATTGTTTTAGCGTGATAAAACATTATCCTATAACCTGCCCAGGAGGATTAACAAATTGATATTGATAGGATAAAAAAACTGATTGCATTTATGGCATCAGTATCGATCACTTATTACCCCCTGGAAGTTATTTTGAATATATATTGAATGTACAGAATAGACCCCTCTACAGATTTATTATAAGTATAGATTATTGTAGTATAAGGTTTTGGAATTTCCAATTTCTTCCTAAGATAAAAGTAAACATCCTCAGTTGGAATTTTCCATTCTTTCAATGAATACAGATTTATTTTCAAACTCATAAACATGTTAATCTCTTACAATATCCCGAATTCCCTATTATAAGGATATAAGCTTCGTTTACGGAAAGGCTCGTAAATTAGCTTACATGTAAACAAGGCATACATGGTGACAAATTAAAGTTTGTAATTTATTCGCCTTTCGTTAGTATCACGGTTTTCCGATCTGAGTGGGAATTATACTTATGCTTTTAAAATTAGTGGGAACAAGACCGGCTGTGGAAAATTCTCCATTAATACTGAGAGAGAGAGCGTAAGATAATTTGAGGTTGTGATGGCCCGGAGGTTAAGCAGCCCGCTTCTCATGTAGGTGTGGGTTCGAAACCTGGCAACTCGGAATAAGTCAGTCGAAGTATACTTTTTATGATTATTTAGACACCACCGACATACGGTGAAGGAAAACATCGTGAGGAAACCTGGACTTATAATTTCTAATTATAAGTTTGAAATCGCCAACCCGCATTTAGCAAGCGTGGTGATTTACGCTCAAGCTTTCTCCGTTTCAGAAGAGGCCTTTGCTCAGCAGTGGGCACTTATAGGCTAATGATGATGATGAAGATTTTACTGCATGTTCTCAATGGTACACTGTTTTTGCTACAGCCTGCAGATAAAATTGGGTGAATTTCTACATTTTAGATTTTGTCACACGAAGAGACCCCGAGCATAGCCCGTTCCATCGCGCGCTGAGTGAATCTGAGTCTATTTTAAGAGACAGAAGTAAGGGACCACGTCTTAGTTCGTACGCGTTCATACGTAAGCCGGGGTTGTGGGTTAAGCGCAATGAGTCACCGCGGCCTCGGCCCAGAGCAGGAGAAGAAACGGGGGGGTTTTTAAGCAGTAACAGTCTGACACTCTCTCGCCTTACCCTGGGCGGGAGAAGTCATTTGATAATTCTGTACCTTCAGTGAAAAGTGATACATGTCGACCCAGATCGGTTTTTATATTCCCTGATTAAAGTTATTAAAAAAAAATTAACTTAATTTCAATCTTATCCCCGTTGTTATAAGATTAAAATTGAAAGAGTTTATTTTGTGTTCATTGATATAAGTAAGCAATTTTTTATCGAAATTATTGAGTAAAATAATACTTTTTGATTCATAACAAAGTGCTCCGAAGCGATCTTTATATTTCTAAAATGTATTTTAATACGACTCGAGTTACCACATCTTACGCGAAGCGTAAGCTTTTACTTCAAATTATCCAAAGTGATACAAATGAAATCCTATCACAAAACTTTAAAAAGTTTAAACAATACATTCTAGTGAAAAGTGGTACATTTGTACATGAACCATACAAACACAAATTTATTTTCATAAAAATATGTGACTAATGATACAACTACTAATCAAACAATTTACACGTTATTTATGTAGCCAATTTTGATGTGATTACAAATTTAATATCAATTCTATTTGTAAGAACATAAGGGAAATAAGATACATGGTTACGTGAATAATGATATTATTATAGTAGAATCAAAACTGCAATGCGTTTTAGAACTAAATTAGCAAAAAATACAAAGTACCTAGTGATACAAGTCGCGCAGCTCTTACGCACCCCGCTTCCCCGCGGGACAGAGCGCGGGCGACGCGGGACGCGGGTTCTTTAGTCTCGGGCGTGCGTCAGGACAGGTGCGTCGTGCGTTACAGTACACAACTACGATGCGTAAGGTAAGACTTGTATCATTTCATTGTACGCTGTAGCTACCTTAATATGTTATGCAACTAGCTTGAAACTTAATTCCCACCTCGTCGAGCAGCACAATGGGCCGGTACGCGGACGGAGAGTCCGCAGTACGCCCCGGCTTCTTCACGAGGACCAGTTTGCCTATCTTCCACGACAGCGGAAACTGGCCCCTCTCCAAGCATGCGCTGAATAGACCAATTAGTCGAGGCCTGAGAGCCTCCGAGGCCAGGACCCAAACCTTGGCATGCAGCCCGTCAGGTCCTGGGGCGGTATTCTTGGAGCCGGCGCACCGCCACTCTCAAATCTACCTCGGTCACTTCCGGAACGGGTTCACCGTCGTCGTCGTTGTAGCCCGCATTGGGCACTGCAGTGGGCGGAGACATAGTGGGAGGCGTGTAACCTATCTGTGGTCGGGGGAATAGCGCCCCAAGCACTTCGTTCACGACCTCCGGCCGGAGACTCTGAGTCAGTGGGGGCGCCCAGGTGCGGAGCTTATCACGCACCATGCGGTAGGGGCGTCCCCACGGGTCTCTGTTCAGAGTCTCCAACATCTCCTCGCGGGCCCGATCTTTGGCCCGCCGGATCTCCACTCTTAGGGTGGCCTTCGCCGCCCTGTACTCCTCGTACAGCTCCGCCTCTCTGGTTTCAGCGTCCAGAGGGCGGATACGGAGCCTTCGGTGCCTGGTATATCGGCGTCGCGCTGCAGTGCACTCACCACGCAGAGCAGCCAGCTCCTGCGACCACCAATACACCTAGCGCTTGCGTTGGCACGGCCGGATCCGGGGCATCGCCACGTCGCACACCCTGGACATGGCGTCGGCAGGACTGACCGGTGGTATCACCCAGGCCTGCACGACTGCGGCTTCCAGAAAGAGCTCCCGGTCCAGTTGCCTAAGCGCCCAACGCGGGCCAATCGGGGCCTGTCTGACTGGCGGGTCTGCGGACTCGGCGGAAACGTCGAACCGTATATACGGGTGGTCCGAAAACGTCTCCACCTCCTCCATGACGCGCCAGTCGCCAACGCGTGATGACAGAGCTGGGCTAGCAATCGAAATGTCCCCCACTGACTCGCCCCGCATCCGTATGCACGTGGGGACAGAACCCCGTTTCAGCACGACTAGGCCTGTCTCCAGAGCCCAGTCTTCGACCATCCTTCCCCGGACATCAGTGACCCGGGAACCCCATGCCAAATTCTTGCCATTGAAGTCCCCGAGGACCAGCACGGGGAGGGGACGGAACCCGACGACGACGGTGACTAATTCCCTGAGGGAGTTGTGGAACTCGACGAGATTTCGGTTCGGAAAGAAGTACACGCCCACCACGGCGATTTCTCCGAACCGAGCCGCGACGCAACCCCTGCCTCGCTGAGGCCCTTCGGGGGTTGGGGTACCGGTGGCGGCCGACGAGATGATGGTCACCGAGCCGTCCAGGTCTGACAACCAGTGTTCCCTGGGTGGAACGAAGTACGGCTCGGAGACCACAGCAACATTGATCGACCACTGCGCCATGCTCTGGAGCAGGAGATCCTGAGCAGCGGCGCAATGGTTGATGTTCGCCTGCAGGAGGCGTAATGGAGCCATTATTGGCAGTCCATCACGACCTCCTCTCTGGCACCAGCGACAGCAGCAGTCGCGGAGGCGGTGGCGACTGTGTCTGTATCAACGGGAACGGCGGGGGCAGTAGAGGCGGCAGAGGGCCTAACTTTACCCCTGGGCTTGGCGAAGGGGAGCAGGTTTTGCCCCCAACCCGGTGATCGGCCGGCTTACCAGCCGCAGCACATACTACGCAGTGCAGCGGAAGCAGCGGCCGCTACGGTCTACCTCCGAGGTGCATTTGGCACCCACATGGTAACCAATGAGGCAACGATAGCACCTCAGAGGCCGGGGCTCAAGCAGCTTCACCTGCGCCGAGACCCAGCCCACCAGGAGTCTTTTGCCCTCCGACAACTTTTTTGCCGCTGTGACGGGGCAGCTGACTACCACAGTCCGCAGCCCCGTATTGTCCGGGCGGATGGTGTCTGCCTTCACCTGGTCCACAGGACACTCCCCCTTCCTGGCAACAGCGGCCGCCACCTCATTCTCCGTCACAGAGTCGTCCAGGCCCATGATACTTAGCTCCAGGCATTTAGTGGGCCTGGACACGCGAGGCTCGTCCGCTGCAAGGCACGCCCTGAGCTTCTCGGCTAGGGCGTCAGCGGACGACCCGCTGGCCGCGCCGGGGACCTCTAAGAGACGGGCTCCAGTGGCAGTGACCCTCACTGCGAACCCGTCGGGTGCCCCAAACTCCGCAGGAGATACCGCCACCTTCAACTTTTTAAGTAAGTACGTCCCCGTACGTCACCCCCTTATTAGCCGCATCCGGCTGTAGTGTGATCACTACAGCCGAAGATTTGGGGGCGAGGAGCATTGCCGCGGCGCGCTTGTCCTTGCGCCGCTGCTGCCGCCGTTGCCGCTGCTCTTTCTTGCGGCGCTTCCTCGCCTCCTTAGCGACCCTCCTCGCTTCCCCGGCCACCTGCCACTCGCCATCGGCACACAACTCCGATGGGGTGGGCGGCGCTCTGGTTGGAGCTCTAGCGGAGCTCTGCACCCCTGCGCCTGCGACTCATCGGCGCCGAAGCTGAAGTTGGAGCTTGCGCTGTCAGAGCCGCAGGTGCCGCCTTCGGCGCTTTCGCCGGCGTAGGCGCTTTCGCCCCCTTCTTCGCCGGTGCCTCAGCCAGAGCGCCGCAGCTGGTTGAAGGCTTTAATTATATTAATATCTGATGTTTAATTTTTGGAGACTGATTTCATAAGATTAAAGCCTGTTCAAGATTAGTTATAAAAATTATGAAAAGTTATTTTCTTTTTATAAGAAAATTATATTGATTTTTGAGACTGATTTCATACGATTTAAGACCGTTCCAGAATAATGATAAAAAGTTATGTATTTTTTATAAGAAATTTATATTAATATAAGATGTTTGATTTTTGGAGACTGATTACATACGATTTAAGACTGTTCAAGATACAAAAGTAAAAGAATTGTTTGTTAAATAAACGCTTTTTTAATTTAGCTATTATTTTATTTTGCTATAAACATACTTTTACCTATTTTTGTAACAAAACCGTTTGAAAATAGTTATTACTTGTATCAATAAACACTTCGATATAAACAAAATGTATCAAAATAAATTTTAGCTTGTAGCATTAATCATTGGTGTTTAGGGGTACAATTGAATATTTACGTAGGAATTTTAAATAAAACAATGAAAAAAGGTTGCTGATAATCAAAATGATCATATTAGCTTTACCACTTTTTCTCACAACAACTATTTGCACGCAAAATATGCCAAAACACAAGCCTTATAACATTTTACACAAAATGATAACTAAATGTGTAAAATAATTCATTGCATTATACATTTAAATACACAAAAATAAGCAAAGAAAACTAAAGTGTACGGTGATATAACTGGCTATTTTTACTAATTACTTAAATTCCGTGCAAAATAATTTATTTAAACCAAGCTCTTTATAATCTTTATAATATTATCTACACGTACCACATATCGCTTTTTATTTCAGAACGTTAGAAAAATAACGAGATTTTTTTAAATCTTTAACCTTAAATTACTCGTAACTATGATTTTCCACTTATATCACTTTTCACTGAAGGTACAGAATTTTCCACTGAAAAAAAGAACATTAGTCACGGCATAAGTAAAGAAGAACGCAAGAGAAGTAAACGAGGATTTTCACAACGTGAAAAAAAAACGACCATTGTTTATCTAAAGACAATAATTAATTTCTTAAACAAAAAATACTACAATTCTCTAACAAAATCTTCGTTCTTTAAACCCTCTTCGAAAAGTCGTTTCCGTGTTTAATTTGCAAGAATAATTAGGTCATTAGTATTTCGATTTCCAATTGAGATTAATTGCTTTGGCGTATTTTAATCAGACATAGGTTGGAAGTCTTGGCAGCTCTTTCGATTCAATTAATTTTCTTTTTGAAAGTATTGTTTTATAAATTGAATACTTATAGAAATAGAAATTTTGTATAAATATTTATTTTGTTATTTTTTATGTGAAAGGTCGGCCAACGAGCAGACGGATTAGCTGATGGTAAGCAATCAGCGCCGCCCATGGACACCCGCAACAACAGAGGAGATACGAGTGCGTTGCCGACCTTTTGGAGATTTAAGGATTGGGGGAGGGGAAAGATTAGGCCTGAGGTTACCGACCTCACTCACACGGCGAAACACAACGCTGTGGTTGTTTTACGCCGGTTTCTGTGAGCCCGTTGTATTACTCCCGAGCCGACCCATTCGTGCCGAAGCATGGCTCTAACACACTTTTTGTTTTTTCATCATCAGACATCAGGGGGCTAAATATTTAAAGAATGATAAAATATTTTTTGACTGCCGTACCCATTGACATTTAACTCTTAAGTACTTAAATTATTTCTTTGTAACGATTTTGTACCGAAAACAATTACTTAGTATTTACGATTTACTTAATTATCTTATATCAGTCTCACCTCAAACACTCTTTTGATTTATAAATATATTTTTATACATCGTGTAGTTTAGAAAAACCATTTTGATTATACAAAGTTTAGATAGAAGCCATATAAATTTAAATATAGAACGCAATTTGTATATAGGTATCAATGTACGACTATCGACATGCACTTACACACACACACGACACACACACAAGCATGTATCGACTGCACGGTTGGTGCGGTGGCTGGGCAACTGCCTGCCGTGCAACGTGTCGCGGGTTCGGTTCCCGCACGGAACAACTCTTTGTGTGATCCACAAATTGTTGTTCCGGGTCTGGGTGTCATGTGTATGTGAAAATGTATGTTTGTAATCGCACCCACGACAATGTATGTTTGTAGTGCCCTTCATTAGGATTTTCTCCTGTGTCGTGGGTTTGTGTGGGGAAATTAAAAAAAAAATGTGCCACATCGATTTATCATATCAAATAGACTTTAAAATTAATAAATAAAATTAGACGAATTTTTACTCGATTTTATGCTAAAACGGAATTTATTGATTTGAAGCACTATTCATTTGATTATGTATTAAAACCTTTATAGCAATAATAACGTCAAGCCCTTTAAATACCACGATTTATTACAATAGTAAAAAAAATATGAAAAAAGTCTTGCAACGGTGCATGCAAATCGCAAATAGCCACCGTACGTTTTTATCTTAAATACGTGCCATTTTGCTATAATTAAGTATTACTTGCCTTTTAAATCATAAATGTTTTTACACATTTATTTTCTTTTTTTATTTTAGTCGTAAATTGACTTTTACTAGAAAACAGGGCCGTATTTCATTTAACAATCTATATGTATATCTATACTTATATTAAATCTGTAGAGAGGTCAATTCTGTACATGAAATATATTTTCAAAATAACTGTCATAGGATGATTAATGATGACTAATGCCAAAAATGTAATCTGTAAAGTTTTGTCTGTCTGTCTGTCTGTATGTTCCTTATAGAAACAAAAACTAACTAATCGGATTTTGAGTTGTTAATGTGTTGCTGTAAGTTTTCCTCAAAATTCTGTGTTTTTTTTTTATTTTTTATTTCAATCAACTCTATATGTCTGTCTCCTTCACACCTAAACTACTGAACCGATTTGGTTAAAATTTAGTACAGATATAGTTTGAAACTCGGTAAAGGACATAGGATTGTTTTTATCAACGGGAATTCAAAAGAAGAACTTTCCGAAAATCTAATGAGATCGGGAACTATGTGGGTAAAATCAAAAATCTGCCAGAAATCACTATTCCGCGCGGACGAAGTCTAGTTAAGTAAATAAATAAAATGTTATATCTTTAACTTCTTTTTCAATGACTATCTTATAAAACAACCGCATCAAAATCCGTTGCGTAGTTTTAAAGACTTAAGAATACATAGTAATATAGAAAGAAAGACTTTGTTCTAAACTATGTAGTCATACACTGTTACAAGGAACTATCAATCTAATGTATGGGCAGTACATGTCCTTATTGAGTGATTATTCTTAATATTGTTTCTTTGGCGCGTGCAAAACGGTCGGTTACGCTTGTCATAAATGTCTATGGAAAGTAATTAATCTACTAAAACTATGTAAACCCAATAAATTTTTTGGCTGAGCAAAATAATTAGCCATTTGGAAGTAGGGTTGTTCCATTATTATGAATACTATTCGTTTTTTATGTGATACGAGAAATGCGAGCTTACGACCCGATGCAGTCAGCAATCGTCAAATCAATGGACACCATGCATTGTTGTTACACCTGAAGAGTTGCGTTTTGGGGATAAGGGGTTTTTAGGATTTAGGAATTAAGGAGGGGTGAGATGAAGAAAGACGATTGGGGATGGGATGATTCCACACAACGATGTGGTTGTTTCACGACGGTTTTGTTTTTCTAAAACGTTTTTTAATCCGGATAAGAAAAGGGTTTTCTCAGTCTTTTCAAGTATATTCTACTAGCTCATGCCAGTGGCTTTGCTCGCAGACATAGCCTATTATTCTCGACTATATTCTATCTATTTATTGGGAGACACAAACTTTCGCGTTTATAGTATTAGTAGGATGTTACAACAAAAATATAATTAAAAACAAATATTTTCAAACTTCGGAAGCAAATGACTTCTAAAAATACCAGAACTCATTTGCTCGATCAACAACATTTAAAACAATTCAACTAAATACGGCCCTGCAAATGAGTAGAAATGAAACCATGTATAGTGTTATCGCGGAGGTAATTAAAACTTTTTATTGTAAGTAATAACTTAGAGTTTATGGTCCAAGTGACCTATTACTCTTGGTGTCATAAGCTAGGCGATTAGCAATGAATCATTACAATGCAACCATTTTATGGGTCACTGGCCAGCAGTTATTATTTGCGTGTCACAAATGTTGGTGCAAATATTTGTAACAGAGATACTGATTTGACTAGAAATAAAAATACTGTATTTAATTATAATTTGAAAAACTAGCTCACAAGGATAGTATCAGGTAACTTTTTGACTATTTTAAGAACGGTCAATAAAGACTTTGTTATATGTCTAAAAGATTAAAGTCTACAGAATAGAACAACTAATGCCAGTAAGGTTCCTATCAAAGTCTTTCAAAATAAAAATATATTGTTAACAAAAATAGCTGAATGTTTGAGAGGACCAAGCTTCGCAACGAATGTCTCATCATCGTAATTCGAAATTCGAAAAAAGATTCAATAACCTAGATGGCCAAGATCAAATCAAACGAAGACACACTAAGTAGTTTTAATTCTTGCAAAAAAACCTTTGTTGTCGTATCAAAGGCCTTAGCAAGAACTATAAAACTACGATTCTCCGCCTCTCTTTTCCTTCCTTATACTCATACTCATCATTGCCTTTTAACCACACGTTTCAAACAAGTTTTAGCCCCCACAAATTGGTAGGTAGGCAAGTCATTACGCCTTCTAAGTAGGTAGCCCATTAATGCAAGTTTGCCGTGCCAATCGGCCCATAAGAACCCCTGTAAAGTTGACCTAACCTTAATCTTATTTGTGACCTCAATAACAGCAAAGTAAGCATTCTTGGTAGCATTTGTTGTTTATTAGTTTTTATAGCTTATTGTTCTCTCGAAGTCGGATGGGAAATTGGTTTTTGAAAGTTTTGCTTGCCTTTGTAGTCTCAGTGAGGAGGAAATGTAATATAGAAACATAATTTTATTTTTAGGACAATCAATGTGAAGACAATTTACATGATGCAGAGTTCAAAATCATGTATTGAATCTTAACACAAAGAAATACTTAAATATCAAGTTTTATGGCTTATTTACTTTAGGAACTCGACTGATTTCAAGTCTTACTAAGAATTCATATTCAACGTTCATAGTAAAACGATAAGCACAATCATTCTTTTAGTAGGAAAAGAAACTTTTTTAAATGTATTTTATCTAATATCTTACTTTGCCAAGGTTTTAGTTACTAAAGTATGTCCAAACTGACAAAAACTACTTTAATAATGTAAGCATTTATTGAACATTTTTATTTCACATCCACAGATTTCAAAGTCGAGGGCTATCCCGTCTTCGTCTGGTTCCACGGCGGCGATTTCGTGCGAGGCAGCCCTAACAGTGTGAACCCCTTCCAATTGGTCCTAAAACAAAGGGTAATGAAACTTTTTCAAGTAATTTACTATTTTTATTACACCTTTAAATGAGACTGACCCAGTCAGAGAACTTTCGAGCTTACTTATTAAATAAGTTACTACGATATTACGAATATAATCAATGTTGTAGATGACTTTTTAACTCCACATGAACATATAAAATCAGTTTGATTCATAATTAGTACCTTACAGTTTTTTTGAGAATTGATTTTTGATTTAGATAGTGAATAAAGTTTAGGCATTTTGGTAATTGATAAGAGCCAGTAAGGTAACAAATATGTGACTTATGTCCTACCTGGTACTTCATAGACACTGAAAATAAAAATCATTAAGTCCAGAGTTGTGGACAACTAACAAGTGAGTTAACTAGTCTTAGAAAAGCCAGGTTTTCATAATCACACTGTGATCAAAGTGTATCAACCACTTAAACAACACCTGTTTTTTAATTCCAGGTAATTTTCGTATCAGTGGCCTACCGGCTGAACATCTTCGGATTCTTCTCAACCCTCGACAACGAAGCTTCGGGCAACTTCGGCCTGCATGACCAAGTAGCCTCTTTACATTGGGTGAAGAACAACATCGAAAGTTTTGGAGGTGACCCTGAGAACGTCTGCATCATTGGTCATGATGCTGGAGCAGTCAGTGTTACCCTTCATTTAATATCGTCATATTCAGCAGGACTCTTCCACAAAGCTATAGCAATGAGTGGAAATGCTTTATCACCAGAATCAGTAAACATAGCAAGAAAAGAAATAGTCACAGTTGATAAGGTTGCTGTTGCATTTAGTTGCTTTAGAAAACCAACTTACCAATTACTGGATTGTCTTAGAAGAGTTCCAGATAAAGCACTTTTAGATATCGCTGGACCAGTAGCCGAATGGAAGCCTATTGTGGATGGAGGTTTCAGTAACATAACCAGTCCATTTTTGCCAGAACTACCGTCAAAACTGTTTAAAGATGAAATTTTCTCCCCAGTCCCTCTATTAGCAGGTTACACTAATATGGAAGATGGCCTTTTACTAGAAAAAGATGAAAGTGGAGACTCAGGTATAAGTCAAAGGGAATTTGATTCGATGAGAGAAGAAATTATACTTGCTGATATCACGGTAGATAACAGTTCATGTTTTACAAATCAACATCACATACAGGACGCTGTAGCATTTTTCTATAAACCAATACCTCATACAACAAATGAAACTGTATTGAGAAAACTTTTTGTTGATTTTTACACTGACAAAACTCATGGAGCTACTACTTATCAGTTAGCGAGACACATCTGCCCACACGCTCCAGTCTATCTTTACAGATTTGACCTAAAGCCCTTTTCTGATATTGCAAACGAAGGTCTTCCAGAATGGATTGGTGTTCCTCACAATTTCGACCTTATTTACACCTTTGGGATGCCCTACTTGGCCTTACCAGAAGACCTTAGCAAATGGGACTATAGAGATAAAAGCATTTCAGAAATTATAATGAGAATGTGGTCCAATTTCGCTTGGTATTCAAATCCTACGAATTCTGGAGTAATTATAGATTGGCAAACTTACGAGTTGGAGAGGCCTGGATACTTGATTATTGACAGAGCCAATTTCACGATGAGCACTCCAGCTACAATCAATTACAAAGCTTTTGAATTTTGGACGGATTTTTATCCGAAAGTTGTAGAAATCGGGACGAAGTGTTGTAAAGAAATCACAGATGATTCTGGCACGATATCAATATTCTCGTCGAAAATCGTACATAGCATATTAATATTGTATTTTAGTTTAATTTTATTGTCATAACGAAAGAAGGGGGTATAAGAACACGGTTATTTTTGTATAGTCTATTGAAAGATGTATTTTAAGTACCAGTATTACTTTAATACCAAATGAAATATTTAATATTTACCTTCCAGAGAAAATTATTCGTGCAAATAAAACTCTTCAAAATGTCTGTGTGGTTTATTGTCTAAGGCAAATGTATTTCTGCTCCAAAATTTAAATTGAATTTGAATGTGACAACATTAAAGTTATGTATTTTACAAAAAGTAGTCATTAAACACTATGCGCCATACATAGTCATCACATAAGGCGAGTCAACAATCAAAATAAATTAAAATGCTCAAAAACTAATTATTCTACAGAGGAATCGAGGTTCGTTCTTAGCACGTTACATAACACAAACGCCTTAAATTATGTTAAACTGTTATTTTTTTAATGCGATGAGGTGACAATTCCGTTCTCGTAATGGTAAGCAACACTAGAGAAATGTCAAGCGTGTTGTTACGAATTTCAGAATAAGGGATTGGCGATGGAATCGAGAAAGGGAGCTTTTCGTTAACTTTACACCATGAAACACTACACAAGCATTGTTTAACGCCGCTTTTATGTGCTATAACTCCAGTCGTGTCGTCCCTTTCGTGTCAATGTATCCGGCCGTCCATACCTTACGTTTCGAAGCAAAATTCTTCCAGGCTTAAACATGAAATTGTTAAGGTCAAATAATGCATTTATTTACGTTGGTCACAATGTCATTTCTACCATAAGTTAGGTTTCTGTTACAACCGTGAACACGCGAGATTTCGAGAAACTGATTTTTTGTTGAATTACCACGACGTTAATGCATTCATACATTTTATACGTCATCGGTTTATCGGTAAAGTAATGTAGGACTCTGAATCACTAATTTTCCCAACCGTGACTCAGTTTTACAAAGAATCGTTGGAACTAATGGAAAATATGGCACAAACACGATAACTCTACGTCCAAAGTCGAAAAATGATACTGAAAATTTATCGTCATGTATAGTGGAAATCCGAGCATCTATCATAATATGTCTTGCGTGAATTGCAAGCAAAACACACAATTTGGCAACATTTTTCAAATACCGTAATTTTTTTTTGCGGGATTGTAAGGAATCGTCTTGCACATAGACACTCGCGACACAGGAGAAGTTACGAGTGCGTTGCGGGACTTTTGAGGATTTGAGTTTCGGAGACTTATGAATTGGGTGGAAGAAGGTTCGGTCCTTCGGTAACCCCAGTCCCGCCGCGAATCACAACGTTGTGGTATTTCCTTGTCCCCATTCGAGCCGACCCATTCGTAAAGTAACATAACAAAAGAAGTTTATTTTATTTTATTTGAATTCTTTCAACTATCTCCAAAAAGAAAACTTAATTGAATCTTTTACTAAGCACGCTCGCGCTGAGAGAAAAATGTAAATAAGACTACAAACTGCAGAAAACAAATACAAGTTTAAATAAACATTTTACAGCTAGAACATTTGCCACGGAACTTTTAGTACTTAACCAAAGCAAGAATTTGGCAGAGGCATTTCCTTAACGATTCTTTTTCTCTTTAAAACTAAATAAAATGCAAGCCAAAGATCTTAAATGCTAGAGAAATCCACTTCGTGGCATTTTTCCAGCACCATATCTAACTTTTTCTGGCTTTTTACCAACTAGATTGGTGTCGACAATGAGTATTTACGGCTGAATGACAGTGTTTTATCCTTGCAATCCGCCCACAGCTATGCACGAATGTTCATAAGAAAAGTAGTACCTTATCTGTTATTTTTCAGCTATGAGAGGCTGTGAGAGTTTATTGTCCCTTCAGTTGCTGATTGAGGAGGTTTGAGTGAGGTAGAAATCTCACAGTTTCTTGAAGGTTTCCCCCATAAACAAAAAAGGGTAAGCCTTTTGCTACAATCCGGCCTTAGTTCCAGATTCTGTTCCTACTACCCAACAAAAGATGAATGTTATACATCCAAAAATGCTTTGTCAAAACCAATTTTTCGGTCGGCAAACGAGAAAACGGATTACCTGACGGTAAGCAATCAGTTCCGCCCATGGACACCCACAACAACATAGGAGTTACGAGTGCGTTACCGACATTTTGGGGATTAGGGATTTGGACATTTAGGGATTGGGGGAGGAGAAGGATTAAGCCTGCGGTAATCTCACCCATGAGGCGAAATACAACGCTGTGGTTGTTTCACGCCGGTTTTCTGTAAGGTGTGACCAATGATCAAAACTACGTCTAGGTCATGACTACTCAATCAATAATCCAATTTTTCACCAAACACTGTAAACCAATGTAAAACTTTTTTGGAAAATAAATTCTACCAGTACATACATAACCTATTTCTAAACAATCGTTTTCGTGCTTAGTAACCATTAGTCACTAAACTTACGAACGCTCGTAACGTTTCAAACGTCAACCGCTGCGATAAACTGTAGGACGGTGTTTGGCTTATTTCTGCACTCTATAAGTCTTACAAATGTTGGCCGGAATAAATATAATTGGCGGTTGAAGATAGGTTACTTTACAATAATGCATTTGTGAAGGTAAATGATGTGGAATTGCAATGTGATGTACGGACTGAAGTGGCTTTTGGTATTTTTTGCCACACTATGAATTTCATGAATGCGATTACAACATTGGAAATCACACGCACGTCATAACCTGTCGAGGAACAACAATGTCTGTATGAGAAAGAGTTCCACAGCCACACAAAGAGTTGTACATCAGCCAGTTGTCCAGCAACCGCGCACACGTCAGTCAGTCAAGTCAACGTCGATTATAAGACTTGCAATCCCCAATCTTTCCTAAATGAGTAGGTGGGCAGGAGCATCAATCAAGATCTATAGGGATTTAACAAGTCAAGGCAAAAAAACAAGAAATAGTCTTAACTCGATATGTTTATTAATTGGCAGTCAAATATCCCATCAGCTTCAGCAGAAGTCTCAGCTGCAAGCACATTGATATACCGCAGTTATATGATTATTACAGCTTATACCAGGATTTCTCTTGGTAGGTATAAATCCTGACTGGACTGACTAATAACTACTGACTTCTATATTAAGCTGCCCTTCTAAAAGCTACCTTGGATTTGAGTCAGTAAGACTCTGATACTCAGCCTCAGAGCAGGAGAAGGCCTTTGATGATTTACCCAGTTAAAAAAGGGTTCCATCAGCCACCTTTCAATGCTTGCAAAACCACCATAAATAAGAATTGTATGGTCATCTAATTTAGATATTAGAGACCAGATTCGTGTTCTTTTTAAAACGGGGGGTAATCATCGAGTTACTTCTCTTGCCTTGGGGGGGGGAGTGTCTGACTAATAACCACCCCGTTCCTTCTCCTGCTCCGAGAAGGGCACCGGTACATAACAGGGCTTGCAACGCATTACAAACTGAAAATTTAAAAATATCATAATAAAAATGGGTCGACCTAACAATTTGTTAGTCATAACATCATAATTTGATCGTAAAATATTTGAACAAAACTTTTATTGCCTATTAAAAGTGGACGCGCATCTTCAAAACATGACAAGTTATGAAAAGAGAATTTGAATATTTTATTTTTATTCGGTTATTATCATGATGATCCAATCGTAGATCTGCAATTTGCAGTGATATTATTAAAAGGAGTAAATTTATACAAGGCGGGACTTGCTCTGTGGGCACATTATATACGTTTGTTAGAAGAATAAATTGTCATTGTATTTGGTAAGTATTATAATAAGGTTAGTTTTTATAAGGGGGAAATTTCAATGTTATGTAAATAAGATGATCATAAAACAATATGGTCTGATGATGGCATTTAACGGTAGTCGATACCCGAGCGTACGGCGCGTAGCGTTCCGCACTCGCCTCAAAGAGCCAATAGACCCCCACAGACGGGACCCTATAGCGCTAATGTTCAGCCAGGGTTGCGGGGTAAGCGCAATGAGGCACCTATACCTCGGCCCAGAACAGGAGAACAAACGGGGGGGTTTTGAGTCAGTAATAGTCTGACACTATGGGCGGGAGAAGACGACTGATGATTTTTCCCTCACAAAAAAAAGGTGGTCGATAAAAACTTTATTTTATTGAGAAAAATCTACCATCCTTAGTTAAACAAAAGGCAATGTCAGACTCTTACTGACTAAAAACCACTTCTTCCTACTTTATAAAGCTCCATCGATTATAAGGTAAGCTAAAGTATAGGTACTATTCAATATCTTTAACATCTTAAGCGTTATTTTAAAAAAAATACAGATTACTAAATACAGAGAACTAAATTTTCATCTGAATTTTATAAATCGAACGTCAGAACCCGTAAGTAACTCTTTACTTAAAGCCTCTTGACCAATGGCTAATTAGAAAAAACTACCATAGAACACGTATTGTTCATATACTTTATGGTCATGACATAAAAATGACTTACAAACATACAAATTGGTTAAAATCGAAGTATAAATATTTCTTCTTAGGCAGATACCATGTCAGTAAAGTCGCACGTTTAAACTGGAGCTAAGAACTGAAACTATAAAAATGAAATTGTTACTGTATTTGTGCTTCTGTGTGCTTATAACGAACGGGATCGCCGCGTATGTGAATAAACAGGTAATTATAATTTATAATAATCTGTAAGTGTATGTATAAAAACATGGAGGTCATTAACCTTTAGGTCAGCGTTCATTGTTATTATTACTCTAGGCCGATTCGTATCGCTAAACTGTGCGATCTATGACGCACGACTTCTTAAATGAAGCAGCGAGATCTTTAATCCTATCCTATCCGTCGGCAAACGAGCAGACGGATCACCTGATGGTAAGCAATTGGCGCTGCCTATGGACACTTACAACAACAGAGGAGCTACGAGGTCTTTGCCGGCCTTTTGGGGATAAAGGTTTCGAAGATTTTGAGGTTGATGAGGGATGTTGGAAGACTAATGATTAGGCCACCGGTAACCTAACTCAGATTGCGAAATAAAACGTCGTGGTTATTTCATGCCTGTTTTCTGTGAGGCCGTAGCATAACTTAGGTAGAGCTGATTCGTTTGTGCCAAAGTGGCTTTCCCACACTTTATGTACTTATCTCATTCAATATCCCATCCGATTATATATTACAAGTATTATTTGTATACTGATTTTACCCAGGGGTCAGCAATCGGTGAAAACTAATGTCCTTCTCCCAATGCAAACTATAAGTATGCAAGGTTTTCCAATAAGACCTAAAAATTTACTGGTAAAGCATGTCATATGGCATAGTTTTATATAAGTCCACCTTATATAAAACTATTTTTTTTTTTCATTTTGTGTGTTTAAAGGCAAAATAAATATTATACTCTCCGTTTATTAACTTCACAAAACTCTTGTAATACGTAGGTATACGTAGATATTAAAAGATTAAGTAGTTAGACTTACAACGATATAGTAATTTCGTGTTACCGTTAAGAATATTTATGAATACAAAATATTTTAATATCTAATATTCATCGAACCAAACAAAACAAAAAGTAACTCCAATTATTTCGCTCCTTTTCAACAGAATCGACATGACGACCAGATGTCAAAAATAGATAAATACTTGGAGGAATGCAAAAAAGAAAACAATGAAGATTACATATATACACAAAGTGATACTTCATCGGTAGAGGCTGAAGAAGGAAACGCGATTAAAATAGTACATTGCTTCTTTAAGAAATTTGGTATAATAAGTCGTGATGGAAAACTGAATGCAGATGCAGCAAGATCTTTTTTGACTCTTACTGGAGTCGCAGAAGATGAAGTTAACAAACTAATCGAAAAATGTAGCGTCAATGTTGACGGATTTGATGTGATCAAATGTTTCATAGATAACGTTAAAAATTGATGTGTTTATTTCGTACTTGTAGGTATTGGTAATCAAAATGAAAGAATATCGGTGGTATTTTGTATCTGTATTTATTTTGTAAGATTATTTTTTATTATTTAAATTCAAAGTCTTCTAAACAATGAAATATTGAATAATAATTTTATTATACTTTATTGAATTATTCGATTTTTAATTTAATTTAATATTTTACAACCAAGCTGCAATGGCCCATAGACCTAATAAATAAACATCTTTATTAACAACGATTAATTTGTCGAATTTTGAAAACATTTTTTTAGATTTTCTCCTGTGTCGTGTCGGACAACAATTTGTGGATCACACAAAGAGTTGTTCCGTGCGGGAATCGAACCCGCGCCACGTTGCACGGCAGCCAGTTGCCCAGCCACCGCACCAATCGTGCATTCGAAAGTTATAAAAGTAACATTTGATGTTTGCCGCAAAATTTACGCCTTAAACTCCTCAGTAAATACCTCCCAGATCAGATACAATTATACATTCATATTAAAGTATTGAGTATTGAGTTTAGAAAAACGTTTATTATTGTATTTGGTTTTCATATGAACTAATTTTTAATCCCGGCATACAAATTAGTTCTCCAAAGCCTTTGAAACATTAACTTTAATACCCGCAGAGGATAACAGGTATAACAACTTATCATTTAAGTGATCTTAATTCACTTGTTTGGAGGCTTGTACATTTTATTTTTTCCTTGTTGGTACCACTGAATTTATTCTTAGAACGCACTTCAAAATGGCTTCTTGTGGGTGCTTTGATATTTTCAATTATGACGCAGTTTTTTAATTATTGTTTTTTGATGATGCAATTCATTATAAATATTGATCTGTCTACGTCTGAGTGACTGACTGACTGATATATTTAGTATCATCAAAATAGTATTTAAAGATAAAGAACCAATGCGATATACAACTGTATTTGTGGTATCTGTATATTGTGGGAACTCTCACGAAAGAGACACTTTTAAGACAATTTTGAAAAGTAACTTTCACAGAAGTTTAAATTTATTTATCTGCATTCTGGCCTCTTTTGTGGCGCAAATACGTTAGAATATTCTAATGCAGTTCCAGAAGATCATACAGCGGCGCTAGAGCACTAACGCACTGTGAATAAACATAAGGTATAAGATGAACGAAGACCACTAACGCAAGAAGGAACGTGCTTCTCACAGCCTATGCTTGGTACACACTTACACAGTATGAGAGCCATGCTTCAGCACGGCCATGGGTCGGCTCGACTGGCGTTATACCACGGCCTCACAGAAAACCTGCGTGAAACAACCACAACGTTGTGTTTCGCCGTGTGAGTGAGGTTACCCATCCATTCCCAATCCCTAAATCCCCAAAATCCCAATCCCTAAAAGGTCGGCAACGCACTCGTAACTCCTTCTTTGTTGCGGGTGTCCATGGGCGACGCTGATTGCTTACCATCAGGTAATCCGTCTGCTCGTTTGCCGTCCTATCATCACAGTAAATTATAGTTAAGTCAATGATAATTTTGAGAATACTGCGATTTGATTTGGCACCGCAATTCGAATCAAGCTTTTTTTGCAGAATACATAGGTGGCAAATGAACAGACCTGACCTGATTTTAATGTATAAGCGCCACCAACCAGCCTTTTAAGTAATAACGCTCATTTTTCTTCATGATTCCAAGGTCATATCAGTTCAGAAATACCATCGAAGACAGTTCACCTCTCTTTACATCGACAGAAACTGTCTCCAAGCAAAAACCGCTGACTAACAATGAAAAGCATATAAAACAAATGCTACATAAGCTTGGCAAGAATGCAAAGCCTTATTACATAACTGAGGAAAACCCATCATTTGAGTGCACAATGAGTTGTACATATGCACAAGAATTAACGCAATGAGTAACTGTATGTTTTTGTTGTGCTGTGCTTATTGAATCAGCGAAGCGCGATGGGAAATACCCAGTTTCTTGATTGATTTAAAGTTGTTTGAAGTTTTTACTATGATGAGGATAGATATAGAGTACCTTGGTATGCTGGCATATACATATGTCTTCATTAGGTAACATAGCATAACGTCAAATGTTTTGACCCTTAAATGGGTAGACAGAATCGCCTATAGTTTTGTAGGTGCCTTTTTCGTATCCACTGGATACAAAAACTATGGATGATAAGCACTAGTTTTGTCACTGTGAGGACAACCCGGAAGACACAGTGTGTCCATAATTATAATATCGGTGTACTCCACTGGGGATGAGCAGCCGTGTCGTTAAGGTAGAGGTCGGTAGCGGCGCCTTCTCGTGCGCAACTTCAAGCCATGGTCCGGAACGAGAGTACTCTCCCTCTTGCCCCGAAGAAATCTTTATGTATATTTTTGCCCCATACAACATCTGTTTATGTATGTGTGTAGTTCCTTTATAGTACTTACTTACAGCTCATCATCATATACTCAATACTCAATACTCAATACTTTATTGCTTTCCACATGTATTCTTAGGTGGTAGTACTTATAAATAGTTCATATGGACCCTGTCGGGCACAGCAAAGTAAGTGGGATAGGAGAGAGGAAGCTCTTATCGGCTATTTTACTTATTTTTGTTGAATCATCATCATCAACCGGAAGACGTCCACTGCTGGACAAAGGCTTAGCTCTCCACGTCGTACGACAAGTTGCCACTTGCATCCATTGGCTCCCCGCGACTCTGACGATGTCGTCGGTCAACCTAGTGGGAGGCCTGCCCACACTACGTTTTACGGTCCTTGGTCGCCACTCTTACAGCTACTTTTCACCAATACCTGCGTTTTGATTTACTTTACATACATTAAAAGTTGAGCCTAGTGCCAAACTAAATCACAGTCTGCTGTTAGTTAGAAGAAATTTTAGAACAGTCAAAAACACCCCAAGATTTATAACTGACGGCGAGGCGAGGAATCCGTTATCGAAGTTTTACATTGCTCAATTAACGAGGCAGACAAACATATCAATTCATCAATAGTCTTGAAAAATATTAAATGACGCATGGGCTGTGCTTAAAAATCCTCTAGGCCGTTAGACAATTCGTACAAATTATTATTCAATGTTTTATATGTATACTGAACACTTCACAACTATTTTTTGGGCCTTACAAATTTAAATACATCTTTGGGAAACCACTTAGAGTTAATGACATTAATCTAAACTAATATTATAAATGCGAAAGTAACTCTGTCTGTCTGTCTTTTCTTCACGCCTAAACTACTGAACCTGTTTGTGTGAAATTTGGTACAGACATTGTTTAGAACTCGAGAAAGGTTGTTGTAAGGTTGTAGTTTTTAAAACAAAAATCTGCAGGAAGTCATTATTCCACGCCAACAAAGTCGCTGGCAAAAACTAGCTTTATATTAATAAATAATAAGGCAAACGAGCAGACAGATCACTCGATGGTAAGCGATCAGCGCCGCCCATGGATAGGTACTCCAGTGGAGTCACAAGCGCATTGCCGGCATTTTAAGAAGGAGTACGTGCGTTTCTTCTGTCTTACTAAGTACCTATTGAAGACATAATATGGATATGTCTAAAGCAACTTTTAAAAATGAATTGCAACAGTTGGCACGCAAAACTTATGACGTCACCTCGTTTGAAAAATAGAAAATTGTATAGTCACTTTGCTAAAGTGGTGCTCCCATTGCAAAGACTTAGTTTTTCGAAACCTAATAGACTAAATAAAGAATAAGAGAGTTTCCACTATTGACGAAACGTCAAAAACGATAATTTTCTATGAATCTTGTATGAAATACGTAAATAATAATGCACGTTGTGAATATTTTTCGCTGTCAAAAATCAAACATCGAATTCGTACAGTTTACAACATCCTTTCAAAACGAAACCAGCCAGTGATAACTCGCAGACTTTTTACTTCACAAATATTTATAAGAAGATAGCTGTGACGTCTTTACTAGAATTTTAATTAAGTAGCAATATTATGACCTGTTTTCTTCTAGCGAGATTCATTAAGAAGTCTTTTTAGTCAGTAGGTCAAACTCGAATGTGATTCAGAAATACCGCTACTATTTTGCTTTCGTCCAACTTCGAAACCTTTGTATAATTAAAAACTTTTCGGAATATTGTTATTGTGAAACTTACTGATAAGCTGTGAATGAATCAATTAAATACTGACAAAGATCTGATCCGGTTTCTTATAACTGTTATTTTTCATTTTTTCTGGAGGACTTTGTAATATTTCTTTATGATCTAAATCGTCAAATTCCTTCTTTCGCTCAGTGTGGAGGGGAGGGAAAATATCAGACCGTTACTGACTAAAAACCACCCCGTCCCTTTTCCTGCTCCAGGTGGAGGCCGCGATTCATATTGAGTTTGGCATGGAAAAAATTTAATTAAGATTTCAATTATAAACTGCACAAATATATTTTCAAAAATATATGTTGTCTGTTAGGCACGTAAATATCATTATAATAAATCATAAATACAAATTCCAAACTCAGGTACAAACAAATATAAATCTGGTATACCCATCCTATTTTTAAATTATTAATAAAAACAAAATAAAACCTGCTAGTCCGTAATCCGTACCCAGTAAGAAAGTGCGCAGCCTCACTCACTAGCGTAAACAAACAAAAAGTGGGTAATCTCATTGTCAAAACGGTAAAATAAATCAAATAAAATATAAACATTAGTAATTTGTATATCAACAAACCGGTACAAACTTGCCTCAGGTGCTCAAACATTTAAGTTTTCCTTAATCCAAGTTTTTTTTTATTTCGTTTAGTGGAACGCGAATACACGCTTCAAGCAGTCGCTTTTAAAACGTGGAACAGAGTGCTTGTTATTTCGAAATTTGAAAATCGAATTTATTATTTTTAAACATGAAGTTGCTGGTGAGTTATTGCTTTTACATTTATTTTTTAATCTGTGATTGTGTGTGTTTACAAGTTTGTCATAAAATCATTTTTTTAACTTAAGGATCGGCCATAAAGATGTTTAATTGAAGATAACATAGAATTCTTTACTCATCATATTATCTTACGGTGTTAGTCACAGTTCAAGATGAACGGGTCATTAAATTCATTGTTTAAATATATTTTATGTGGACATTTGTGGTTAATTTAGAATTCTGACAAAGCATCAAGATCGTGATAAAACGTGAGAATGGTATAAAAGAGTATTTCGAAAAGGAATTTTGAAATAAATATTATCTTTTAACTCTTTACAAACCTATTTAAAAAATGTGTGCTAAGTATTCATAAAATACTAAAGTGCCAACTAAAAGATTTAATTGTATCACGTATCGAATAAAAAACGCAAAAAATCAAGCAAGCAAAACTCACTATGAAACTTAACAAGAAATCGATCAATTATCAAAATAAAATGGATGCGATAAATTAAAATTGGCTTTTTATCCTACAATGTAAATGTGCTAAAATCGATTTTGAACTCTAATATTTTGTGTTATTAAGTCGAAAACGATATGAAGTAGTATACTTTAATCTGCTGTGGTTTATAATAATGATTGTATAAAAAATAATAGTTTTTGCTAAAGGCTAACCGGTTGTATTATAGGTACAATACCTTCTGTTTATAAACATTAAGTGCAGATGCATATTTTGTAGACGTTTGTAAAGTTAAATAGACAATTAATGGTTCGAAGGATAATTTGTGGTCTAGAGATGGCCTCGCCTTGTATACCTACTTGTATATTTGTATAAGTACTAATTGCAAAATCCGAGGTACCTATCCTGGTTCAAAACCTAGGTTGTAAGTAAATCTCTGATTATTATCTGAAGCTCATATCCGAGATCAAAATATACAGTACGGCCGATGTATCTTGGCGAGTCTGAAGTTAGCCGTTTGTCTGCGCAATGGATCTTTTAGGAACAAAATTGTGTACTGCGCAGCTAATCGGCTAACTTCAGACTCGCCAAGATACGTCGGCGATATTGTAACTAGAGTTAAAGGGTTGAGGGAGTTTTGTAAAGAATGATATGAAAAAGAAAGTAGTTATGAAGATATGATAGGTCTGATAAGGGTGAGGAAGAATGGAAAAAGAATACTTACGTCTACATTTACGCCGATCCGAGATTAGGATAAGAACAGAACTTATATTATCATACAATGATATCTCTTGGGTGAGGAGAGAGACAGTGACTTAGGTACTCTTAAACAGGGACTGAATTACCCAAAAATTAAGGTATCTTTAAATTTCGATATGACGTCATACCGTTAAATAAGGGTTACCGAAATATTGCGATACCGTTTTTTTTTCAGTAGCGGAATTTAAAGGGTGGAAATGCGTAACGGTATATTTCGGTAGAAGTACTACAACCGTTATAAATATTTCTGTAGCAGTACCTTAACCTTAATAAATAGGGGTTTTCTTTGACGCACCGCCTCGCCACTCTGTCTGTCTTTCGTTTGCTGGCTGTTGCACATTATTGGTTTTTATTTCCAATCGGAAGGACACATCTGTATTAGCAGGACTGCCGGACTGAGCTGAGTTCTTACCTAACGTTTTCTTTAGTGTTGTGGAAAAATGTTACCTCATAAACGTGTCGAGCATAATATACGTAAACGTAAGTACCTACAAGTCTGTGAAGTATAATTAGGCAACATTATATACTTACATGAAATACAAGTAAACTGTAAAATTGCAGGTGAACCTGTCATCATAGATGAGTCATCTATAAGCTCAGATGACTCTATTACAGCTGATGAGAAAGAATTCGACCTGGTGTGTCAGTCTGATAAATATAAAAAATATGAAATAGACCCCGAAGGCACAACTCCAGAACTGGATTCTCCAAGTTCACCGGAGTTATTTGGGAGTGAGACCAACGAAGTAAGTCAATTTTTGTAACTAAATTGCTCATTATTATTAGGTACTACGTCTTATATCATAGATAGGTAATCCGCCACTGGGTTGTTTGAAATAAATTATAAAATATGATACTTAATGACTTTTATAATTGATTACACTTAATAATAAATAATCCCAGCAGTGGGACAGTAATGGGAATTAAGGAAATGGAATTTTTCACCATGCAAGTAGCCCCGCAATAAGTAGATTGGTAAGTACACAGAGTTCTCAACCCGGAGCGAAACTTCCGGCTCCAGCGACGGAACTCCGGAAGTAGGTACTGATGTAACGTAAACCTTATAGACTCCTCACAATCCTCCGCGGTGCCAAATGACTCCGGGCGAGTGCGGGATCGCATTCGTTCACTCGGTGCGTCTTGTCGCAATAGTACCTATCGTCATAGAATAACTTACTATGGTACCTACTACAAACGTAATATGAAAGCCGCTTTTATAATAGCCTACAAAATCACTTCTCCGCCAACGCGCAAGCTAAATTGCACTTAATTTTGTGTCTTTTCTCGTCTGCAACATACCTTAGCTGCTTGACGGAATATAGGGCTGTCCGGAAAGAAAAATAAAATATTGACGAGTACTTAGCTTAATAAGCTACCCATAAGTATTTTATTTTTCTATCCGGACAGCCCTATAGTAAATCCCTTGTTCTTGTGTCTTGTAAATAAACTTTATATAGGCTTAAATATTATTTAAGCCTATATACAGTTCTTCATTTTACAAGTACAGAAGATTTACTCTACAAAATCTTTAATAGTAGTTTATTGCACCGAGCAGTAAGTGACTTATTGTTGCGCCGAGTGTTAGATTGGACCACGAGCATCAGCGAGGGCTCTAATAACACTAGAGCAAAAAAAAATGTCTCGTCGAGGGAGGTACTTCATAGCCTTTTCCTTCAACTACAACATAAAATCATCCATTCATCCCATCCTTTCGATTTCGATGCACTAAGGATGTCTAGCCCGCCGCGTACTTGTACCTTCATACCTAAAATGCAGAGCGCGCCTGGCCTGCTATCGTTTGGTTTGGATGGTAGACAGACACGACGGACGCGTAACAGTACAGTTCAAAATTATTACTTTAGTTTGTTACTGAAGCTAGAACACTACGGCATTCGGGGGGTATCCCTAGATTTATTGAAATCATACCTTCAAGAAAGAAAAATTAAAGTACAAGTCAACAAAGTTAACTCACTGGGTGCTAGCGTATCTATGGGCGTACCGCAGGGCATAGCATACTACAAACTTAATGATTATATACAAGATAAAAATGCTTGGAGGCTAGCTAGTCCTACTCCACAGGATGTTTAGAGTATTTTTTTGATTTTAATTATTAAATTGTACACTATGTTGTTAATTGTTGATGAACTTCTAAGATTTTGTAAATGTGAGTGCCCTGTAACCTATTATAATTAAGTAAGACTTGTAGAATATAGGTACTTGTGTCGGCTGGGAGCTGTCATGCTCACTCAGAGGTCTCATTGGCGGTGGCACGGGCACTGGATCGTCCAATCCCCTATAATATGGTTGAGTTGGGCGGTGCTGGTGTACGTGTCATGTTCGTGAACGGGCGCCGCCTATTGGGATTGGTCATATCCAGGCTGTCTAAATATGTTGTCCTTGAGGTTCACTTCTTTTTCGTACTTTTTGCCTGAACATTAGTGTTACATTGTTCTCACATATCAGAACCGACTAAATGATGTAACAAAGAAATGTATTGTAAAACTGATTGAAAAAGAGTAACCATGGAGTTTCTTGCTCGTTCTTCTCCATAGGAATCTACACTTTGGAACGAGCAAATAGCTTCACTAGAGGACAGACGGACAGACTGACACGCTTAATTTTAAAGCTCTTGTTATATACTTTTTTCCTTTTTTGCTTGCTTGACGTTCAAAAGTCCCTACTGTGGTCTAATTGAAATAAATGATTTTTGACTTTGACTTTGACTTTGTTTAAACTTACAGAAATACCAGAAATCACTAAAATATATATGTAAGGTATGTGCCATTATTGTCAGGGAATCCAACATATTAGGGGATCAAGATCCATGGATTTCGATCCCCACTGCAAGCAAGACGAAGACCTTGTTACTTTATAAATACATATTTATATTTTTTTGTTTTAGGGGATAGAAAATAATCAAGTTACTCATAAAATATCTGTCGGAGTAAATACGGATCCCTTCATTAATGACGAACGAACGAACAATTTAGATGCAGATACTATTGAAAAATGTTACACATTGGGGCTTATTATTGGAAGAGCAATGACTAAGATGTCAAGAGAAAGAAGAGAAGATTTTATTCACCAATTATCACATTGCTTTGAACTACACGAAATAAATAAATAACAAGCTTATAATAACATTTTGTTTAACCATAAATCATAAATATTCATAATCACTGGGAAATATAAATAAAAGCAAACGTATATTTATTTTGTCTTTTATTCATCCATAAAAACAAACATTAAAAAAAAACAATTTTTAACTGTTATTTCTTAAGACTAAAATGTCCTCGACTATGTTGTCATTTAAATTGTACCGTAAATCACTTAAAATGAATTTTAGGGATGAAAAGAAACGCTCCACACTAACTTGAGTAGCCGGTGTAGCTAGAACTGTAGTTGCCAAACGAAATAGTTGAGGTTCGCACACGGCTTTATTTTTCCAAAATGTTAATATATCTTCTGTAGGCGGTATTCGTGGATGGCAAGAAAAGTTCTCTAAAAGGGCTGTTATAGTCGCATGAGTCTGGACATAACGGTCACGGCGGTTACGGTTTTTTATTTTTTCAGTTTCGGCCAAAATTGCTTCCATTTCATCCACAGCATCAGAAACTAGTTGGGATGTGCTCGAAGATTCATCTTCGGGTACTGGCATAGAAATTGCCTCTACTTTTAAAATTTGTCTCCAAGTCATGTTAAGATGTTTATTAGCTAATGCTTCTTCGTCTGCTGACAAGACCACATGAAATCTGGGATCCAGATACAAAGCGCTTACAAATGTTGGGTTAAGCATTAGCTGTTTTTCTCTTATTTTTATATATTTACATATAAATTGGGCCAGAGGTAAATATAAGCGTGATGTCTCTAAATAACATTTGGACCAATGGTAATAGAAGTCACCAATCGTGAGTTGTTCTCTTTGCAGTACCTTTGTCAGCATTTTTGCCGGTTTTAGTGACGTAATAAGGTCATTTAAAGCATCCCAGGTCGTTGGTGACACATACAAGGCTTCGCCTGGTGTTTGTGAACAGTACTCCTTTAAATCTACGAGCCGCTCTAGCATGTCCAATGTTGAATGCCATCGTGTAGCCACGTCCAGGAGCGGCTTTTTTTTGTTTGATGCTTTAAACATGTTTCGCATCGTAGGAGTTCGAAGTTTGCGTACAACACTGCGAGCTTCATTTATAGTGTGTATTGATTCGTCTTCCTGCAACGCATCACTGACTGCAAGCTGCAATGTATGTGCAGCGCACCGTATCGAGATGACACTGTGAGGAATCTCGGGCTCTGTATTGTCGACGTCATACACATTATTATTAAGTAATATCTCAAGCGGCTCCGTATCCGTATCATCCTCGTCAGAATCATTATCTCCGTCATTTAACAATTGGGTCATTTTAATCATATTTGCACCGTTATCGGTAGTTATAGAGTATATTTGCTGTTCTAAAATGCAATATTTTCTCATTATATAAAGGAGTTTATCTTTTAGATACTCAGCAGTGCTCCTGGCATACAATTCTGTAACCCCCAGATATTTTACAATAATTTTGCCGTCCAGTATATATTGTGCATTAACTGCAAAAAATGATCTATCTAAACGTGTAGCGCTGTCAACTTTTAAGGAAATCATTCTCCCTTTTATAGCTGCAGCTATTTCAGATCTTTTGATTTCTGCTGCCTGCGATATAAACATTTTGATGGAATGAGAATTTAAAGATTGAGCTTCTCTTGGACTTATGCCGGTCATAGATATAATATTTTTAAAGGCTAAATCCTCAATTATGGAGAATGGTCTTCCGTGTACCGTTACCAAATTGACACATTGGTTTTTCAAAAATGTATATTTATTCGTAGCAGATGTAGTTGAAGTCGTAGGTTGGTTGTTGGTGTAACTATCTGTACTAGTATTTGCAAGAGTTGAATAGTTCTCTTTATTTGATTCGTCTTTTGCTAAACGATTTCGATCAATAACTATTTTGTATTCATCTGGGTGTTGCGACGATAAATGGTACAAAAGGTTTGTCCCATGTTCGCCCTGAAAAGAAATTAATTACTCTTCAAATTTATGATTGTTACTTAATAAATTGGGGAAGAGTTCGTGCTCCACCTAGGTAGAGAACTTAGGTGGAGCACTGTCATTTCCCCAATAAATTTAATACAACATAGAATATAAAAACTTTTGGCTTTTAAATTAAATAAAGATAACAAGAATAAAATATCCCAGTAATTTACATTTATGTGTGCGACAACCCTAGCCCACTTTATCGTGACCTTGACCAACCACTTACGGGCGTTTTTGGGCCGCGTGATAACGTGTGAAATTGTGACGAAGATTATGGTTTATTAATAATGATTGTAAAACACTTTCAATCGTTACTTAATTGTTTGGCAAAGTAATGGTCTAAGCTTACACGTATGATCGTTGATATGCTATCTGAATTTACAATTTTAAGCGTGACCAAGAGCATAAGGTAGGTATCTATCTTCTCCTTCCTCCCCCCCTCTAATAGGTTCATTTAACAGTATTACAATTGGCAAACATAATAATTTATTAAGTTTTATAATCACCACGTAAATAGATAGTTTTCGATTAGGTACCTAACTTATAAGCAAACTTGTACTCTACCTAGGTACTGACCATTTGCGAACGATGACGTGTGGTTTTGCAAGTATGTAGGTACATTTATCTTCCGAAGTTCACAACACAAAATATGTAGGTAGATGTAGGTAGTAGGTACAGAAACTCGGTTCCATACGTGTGAGATAGGTACCTATAGTACCCAGTCATTGGAGTACTATGTTCTGTGACCTAGGTAGGTACTGGCCAAACAAAAACAATTTTCGGCATTGTGTAGGTATCTACCTCACACACTGATGTGTAAAATACAATAACAATATACACTGCACAGTGAATATGTTATTAGGAAGGTAAATACATAGGTACGTGCAATCAAACGCACGTCAGCTGTATGGTATGCCTATTCACAGTGTAACCATACCATTGACTACTACCACAGTTTTTACACTGCCTACCTTAAAAAGTTGAAACCATAATAATTTGACAATAGGTAAATGAAGAAAGTAGGTAGGTAGGTACTTACTTTTATAACAGCTGAACATCCAATCACTAGGCAAGTCGAGACATTTGTTTCCTTAGAATATGAAAAAAACGCATAAACTGCGTTTCTACGCTTTCTTCCCATTTTATTAATATTTTAATGTTTCACGTTGATGAACGATCGACAAAATAAACACGTATTACGCGGCACAAGGTCGGCAACGCACAAAGAGATGTAGGTACGGTAAGTAAAAGAGTAGGTACAGTACAGTAAACAAAATGTACAAAATACACAAGTTCTAACGTGTTCTTGCACGTTTTTCGGTACCGAAATTATATTAAGGTTAAATAACGGTTCAGCCCAACCTTTATTTTTAAAGGTATCGGTATAGCTCAACCTTTATTTTAAACCGGTACAGGTATATTTTTGAGGTATAACCACCTTTAACCGTAACCGCTTTCAGTCTCTGCTCTTAAATACTTTTAACCGGCCTCTTCTAACTTCTGCTCCAATCTGGGCCTTTTTTGAGGGAAAAAAGTCTTTAATGCTCGTAGTCAGACCGACAACAAACCCTGCCAGAAATAATTTTAAAATTATTTAAATTGTTAAAATTTTTAATTTATTTCTTGTAGAAGTACCTTCCTACGCCTACCCGTTCATATAAGCCTTATCTACCTATGCGATGACGAGCTATGATATTCGATAATTGAGGAAAACTATTTTGAGCAATCAACTATTTTAAATAGGTACTCTTAACGACAGAAACACGATTGGATTTGAATTACCAATATTTACTATTATATTGGCTATTCGCAAAAACAGACGCTAAAGTACTTTGAGTACATATCAAGTTGATTACGTTTTTCGTTTCTCCGAAAACTCGGGGCTTCCAAAACCATTTTATTTGAATTCGAAAGAAACATATTTCTGTGGTTACCTATGTGACTCCTGCTGTGATTGTAATTGCAAGGGCCCGGCTTGGAGCTAAAGAAACGGAGTGGTTTTAAGTCAGTAAGAGTCTGACACTCTCTTGCCCAACCTAGAGCAGGCGAAGTCATTGGATGACTGATGATGATGATGACGATGATATTATAAAACGAAAAACGAGCAGACGGATTGCCGGATGATAATCAATCGATGCCGCTCATGAACACCCTAGGAGTTACAAGTGCTTTACCGGCCTTTTCGGGGATATGGAATTTTGGGGATTTAGGGATTGGGGAGAGATGGTGGAGGGGCAGGAAAGTGGGAAGATTGGGCCTCCGCAAACGACAAAATACAGTGGTTGTTGGGCGCCGGTTATTTGTGGAGTCGTGGTATATCTCCAGTCGAAGCGGCCTCCCATGGTAGAAATAAAAGGCTTTTTTACAGTAAAAATGCCTGAGTAACCCATGTTACAAACGTTACCTGCCTACGTATACTTCATATGTTAATCTAATTTGCCCTCTATTACTGATTCCACAGATGTCAATATCAGCTCTGGTCGTGGTGACGTTCTCAGTCGTTGCGGGTCAACGGCCTTCCTTCGCGGGATCTCGTCCCATCGGGTTTCCTGAGACACCGAACAGGACGACTACAACTGTTGATCCGCTTTCGGACCGGTAATATAATCATACATATGTATCTACATTAAATATACCTACAGATATGTATTAAAAAGTATTTATTTCGACTGATCGAAATCGAAACGAAATCATGATCATCATCATCAGCCTATAAGTGCGCCCACTGCTGAGCAAAGGCCTCTTTTCACACGGAGAAAGTTTGAGCATTAATCACCACGCTATTGTACCTAATCATAAAAATTTCGATCAAAATAACCTTCTTATAACAATAATTGGCACGTGTAATTATTTTCCTTTTGGGAACTGGTGTTAGGCACTGTTTGTATAAATAAGAAATCCAATAAAACTACAGTTAGAAATGTTTTCAAAGTAAAAACCTTTCAAACCAAAATTTAATACCCACTTTTCATTAATTAATTACAATTCGTATCATAATATAACATAGCTAATTGAATTCAAATCCCCTTGCTAAAATCACAAACATAATATCAATAACATTTCTTTTCCAGTTTCGGCGAAGGAACAACAGAAAGACTGCCAATCGAAGCGAATGGGGACAGGGATCTGATTGACAGGCTCAGCAAGCTACCTATAGACAAACAACCGTTTTGGTTCATCAACTGGCAGGCCCTGGAAGCCCATAGGAAGAACCCACAGACCTACCCACAAAGACCTAGCTCCTTCGTAGACCCTGTCCCCCTAAATTCAAACAGATTTCCAGCACCCTCGTCACAGTCTCTTACAACCCAAATAACTCCTATAAATAGATTTGGACCTACTACTGCCTCTAACCAATTCTCAGCTCAATCTAGTTCACAATTTAATTTCAATAGTCAAAGTAACAACATTAATCCTAACGGACAAATTCGTCCCGAAAGCCAAAATAATCCCAATGTAGTACCTCCCCCTCAAATCCCTTCCATATATCAATATAATCCTTATAGTCAAAATCCTAATGTGCCAGCACAAAGTTTGCCTAATGCTTCTGTTCCTGTTAATCAGAAGAACCAATTTATTCCTATAAGTCAAGTAAATCCTAATGTCCAAATTAATCCCGTTGGTCAAAATAGTCAGTTCAATTTCACTTCAAGCTCTAATACTGCGGTCAGCAACAAAAATGGCGTCGTAGAAACAACGCAAAATTATAAATGGAATTATTTTACCTCACATAATACTCATACTTCACATTTCTATAAGTATCCCGACTATTATGTGCAGACTGATAATCCTAAAAGAACTGGAAGTGATAGCTATTAAATAGCATAGTGTAAGAAAGAGATAAATATATGTCTCTCAGTACTCGCTTTGTTTGAATATTGCTGTCTCATTCATACTCAGTAAATTTATGAATTTCTGACAATAATTGCCATATATGACTACTGAGTAACATTTATCTATCTCTATTAGTTTTTAAAATGAAAAAAACACGAATATTTAATTTAATAAAACATTTTATTGACTTTTTTTAAATAAATAAAACTTAATTACTAAGCGTATTCTTAAAACTAAACCTCATAAGAGCGAATATAAATAAAAATAATAGTAAAATGCAAACAAATTGTTCATTTTATTTGACTCAAAAACTTTACCTTCTTGCGAAGATTTTGTTTTAAAAAAGTATAAATTATTGTACAAAAATATCATAATAATTCAAATATCGAACGATATTTTATTCGTGTTGCCGTTGTAAAAATGACGTCACACTAATGACTTTCTTAGATATTGTTCATTTAAAATCTAGATTTTTTTGAAGGCTAGACTTTATAGACATCAAGGCACTACGGAGCTAAGTAAGCACAGCCTAAAATGTGTTTAACTAAGTTGTGAATTATTTAAATAAAAGAAAAGAAATTCTAATTTAGAATTATCGACATTATTTTTACAGCAAATTATTGCATTCATTAAATTTTCTCAAATAAAAGTATTAGAGATGAATTAATTTTAAAATTGAATTTGGAACATTATTTTGCTAGGACATCATTTCAGACTTTTATTATTAGTTCTTTAATCCAGGCCACTAACAAAGCTGCTGGATGCCCCAAAATATACGAAAATAAAAAACATTTACGATATTTCAATCCAAACAAATTTGAAATCTATTTCACCTGATGTAAGACATAAAATAAATGCATCAATGGCATATTTTAAAATTATACATTACATATTTCTAATTAATTACCTTTAATGACATCGACATACCAAAGAAATAGAATTCAAAATCGGTTAAACGAACTGTGAATGATATTGGTAAAGATTCCTCTATAATGAAAAAATGTTATATACCACACTAAAATCACTACGTTTTTTATATAAAATAGGAATATACATAATTATTATGTAATTGATATAAGTGAGCACATAAGCTCTTATTTATACAAACACGTACATACAAGGACTAAAAACTCCTTGAATTAAGAACTCAATGGATTTATCAACGAATGAATTTTTTTGGTTATACCACGACAGCTGCAATTAATTTTAAACCCTATCAGTATGAGTGTAATGTTGAAAATTTATTACAAGCGCACCATTGCATTTTTTTACCATACGAACAAAACTCACTAGGATACCTTCACTACCTTGTATAAAAGTATCATAAAATTACAAAAAAGGTTATATACGATTTCAGTACAGATAGCAACAAAATTAAATCAATTATCAAATTAAAAAAAACTTAATCCCTTTTTATTTTCAATATATATAGTCGTTTATTGTCGTTATAGTAGATAGTCGTTTTCAAGCTGTATTTGTTTTAAGAACTGCGGCCTATCAACGATGTAAGGGCAATCCTTTTTATGTTTATTAACTTAAATCAATTGCAATCCCCAAAGCGATCAAAAATACCCCTTACACTTTGAAAATAAGCCTGTTTTCGACAATAAGTCTCAAATCTGATGAAAAACAATACCAGCTATAAAAAAAAACCCATGTGGATGTCGAATTCCCACCTTGATTGACGCTATCTGTACACGCAGACACACATAAGTACAATAATCACAAAAACCACTCACTCAGCTACCTAACTACCTCAGTATAAAAACATAACCGTCGGTTATGGGCTGTTTTTCATTAGAACATCTTAGTCGCGCAACTAAAATGTGTATAGCAACCAAGCTATATGCACTGAAATTTGCGATATGCATCCTGGCTTAAAGTAAAAGAATAATAGTTTTTTTTCTTACTGGTAGGCGTTTGTCCGCTATCACGCCTGGTGCCAAGCGATGATGCGACCTACGATTAATGTCTACCCATAAGCCACTTATTTACTAGGGCCTTGAAGACACTCAGATACTAGGGAATTCGAGGCTCCGCCAAATTTCAAAAACTCCTTTAATTATTTTCATCTGAAGATTCGATATGGTTACTATTATTTTGACTTGGTTGCCGGCAACTGTTTAGTTGCGCCAATAAATTTTCTCCATATATTAAAACATTATGTTGTTATTGCAATTGGCCACCTGACTAAGATGTTCTAATAAAATGTTTCCCTAACGCCCTTACGATAGATACATAAAACAAAACTGTACATATTTTATATTCGCAAATTATGATACATAATTTGGCTGAATAATACTATTTTATTTGTCGGTCGAAAACATTTTTTAAAAGTAAAAATTATAAAAAACGAAAAAAATAAACAACGAATCATTGGCTCTGATTACGGCGGGGACAGATTTGAGAGAAATTTGAATTTTAACGGTATTCTTAAGATATTTTGTAGTAGTATTTCAAAACTGTATTAGTAAAATCAAAAACATACTTTTGTCACAAAAATATTAAGGCACGAAGCATTTTATAAGGCACATTTTTGAGTATTACCAAAGATAATTTACTATACGATTCTAGCGCAGTAATGAATAAGAAGATATAAAAATCGAATCTATAGAAATCGATTTTTGACCCTTTTTATAATCGATTTTAAATAAATAGCAACACTCAACAGTAGCACACTAATAAAGAGCTCGGTTCTTTCAAATCTGTCCCGACCTTCGAATAACATGGTCCTCTATTACCGTGCAACAACCAGAATTGTGCATAATGTTGCTATCGTCGTCCAGCTAAACCTGCTGGTTGGTGAACCGGAGGTTTTCGTAACCGACGGTAAATTCACGCTTTTATAATGACAGGATTTCTCTGATGTCTCATTGTCCATAAGTTCTGTATAGTTCGGGTAGCTCTGTATTTGTATAGGCTGAAAAAGAATAATAATAATGAGTTTATGTGACACAGAAAGGGTTTTTATAAAGGGGGAATCATCAAATGCCTTTTTTTGTGATACGGCAAAAGAGCAGACGGATTATCTGATGGTAAGCAAAATCCGCTGCTCATAGACACGCGCAACAACGGAAAAGTGTTACGGATGCGTTGTTAACCTTTTGGGATAAGGGTTTTGTGGATTGGGCCTCCGGTAACTTTACTCACACGGCGAAACACAACGCTGTGATTGATTACTTCTTTTTTAGACTCATACTGACTAAAAAGACCCTTTTCCTGCTACAGGCCGGGGTCACGCCTACATGATTGCGCTTGCATCTCCACCCCCGGCACACAGAAAAGGTGCGAGAAAGTTCTTCAGAATCGACCTACATCTATAGGTTTTCAGTTTCCAATGTTCATAAACTGCAGAACTGAATGGCTTATAGTTCATTTTAGCACCGTATACATGCAGAAATCAGCTAAGCTCCAAAGATGACATGACGAAAATAAATAGTACACTTACCACTCCTAAACTGTCGTCCCTCTTCTTACAGAAGGTCATATGCATGCCCTTGTAAAGTGTCTTCTCAATTTGTTCGGTTAATAGCGGCTCAGCCCACGGCATCTCGTTCAAGTGCGCCATAAATGACTTGTTACGGAATTCCGGAGGCTCCCAGATCACTAGTTCCTCTGAAAAAATAAAGTTTAACTGATTAATATACAGAATCATGGTGGAAGTTCTTGGTTGAAGGTTTGAGTTGTTTTTAATGGAATAGGACTTCGACAAAGTCAGAAGCAACATTCTATTCCTCTAAGACGAAACGTTAAAAGACCATTTTTACTTGTGTTTAACCAATTGATTGCACGGTTGGTGCGGTGGCTGGGCAACTGGCTGCCGTGCAACCTGTCGCGGGTTCGATTCCCGCACGGAACAACTCTTTGTGTGATCCACAAATTGTTGTTCCGGGTCTGGGTAGCTTGTGTGTGTGAAATTGTATGTTTGTAAACGCACCCACGACATAGGAGAAAAACCTAGAGGGGGGCATATAGGTTGCACTAAAAGTAACAAAACCTTTACAAAACCAACGTTTTTGCTGCAGTTGACATTTATCCTTTTTTCGACACAATATAACACAAAATCGGTTGTTATTTACAAAAAAATACTATATTACATAAGAACAGTTACTTACTCATCAAACCGACTCCTTGGTCATCACCCTGAACTCCTTGCTCAGCACTGGTATCGTTTAGCGCATGTTTAGAAGCATCAGCATCTGACAGCGGCAGCGTGGGGAGGTTCTCGAACGTTCTGTAATATTTAAGAGGTATTTTAAAATTGTTACCAATTATAAACATATTTCTTTTTGAGAAGAATCTCCATCGGAATCTACACTTTGGAACGAGCGAATAGCTTCACTAAGAGGACTGACCGACAGACTGACACTTTGTATCTTTAAAGTTGTGTTGACGTTCAAAAGTGCCTGTATGGGTCTAATTGAAATAAATAATTTTGACTTTGACTTTGACTTTGAAGCGAAAAGTATCAAATCACTCCTCCCGCCCTGGATGGGGTGAGAGGGAGTTTTAGACTCTTACTGACTAAGAACCACTTCCTTCTTTCTACTGCTCAGGTCGAGACCGTGAAACATTACTGCGCTTGCCCCGCAACCCTGGCTGATGGTAACCATGTCATGCATCGATATTATGATTATGTAATTTTTACTTGTGAACGTAGTAATATTGGATTAATGGTCTATGTTATGTATCAAACTAATGACATATAGCTACTTCTTTATACTGATCATGATTAATGGGTGAGGGCAATTCCTTCCCTATTTGCTGACCTTACAAAACCTACTGATCTTATTTTTCTACTGTATAAGCTTGGTGCTATATGAAAATTTGTAAAACGAAAAGGTAAGGTCAAAATTAAGCTGATTTCCAAGTAAGGCTTAAGTAGCCTTAGTAGGCTTGCGTCCTTCTTTATATTGGTAATGGAAGAAAGATTTGGAAATTCCTTTTTAGATTTTCTTACTTACCCAGAAGAAAGGAAGATATTTTCAACTTGTGTGAAGCTCAGGCCATAGAAATGTTTGACGCCAAACGTTTCGAAAAA